AGTATGGAAAATCTTCCCCTGTCCTCCATGCCTCGCACTCTAGAAAGTCACCAGGAAATGATTTGTGGCAAAATTGCACACACACAAAAGGAACCACATCTTCACACAGCCGGAGCTTTCGGGTGATGAGGGACACAAAGACATGGCGCACAATAGGTGTTCCTGTCCGTGGATTCGGCCGCCTTTGATCTCTGCAAAGGAGGGACCCGGGCAAAGTACTGTGAATGGATAATAGACCAGGAGGCAGCAGAGCAGCAGGCAGTGTGCTCAGTGATCAAGTCGTGGTGATGCCCAGACACTGTGCATCTGATGATAAGCATCTTCTCTTGGTGCCTTGGAGTCTCATTTCCTTCCAGCTTGACTCCAAAGGACCCATTCATCTCTGGCACCTCGACAGTGTGCCACTCGGAATCTGTAGGTTCTTTATTTCCGAGCCCACCAGAGGTAACGAGGACATCATTATTTTCCCCTCGTATCACTGTATTCTTTCTTCCTGCTGCTTCTGTTCCCTGCAGCTCTCTGGGGTGGATTTGACTTCTGTATCATCCTTAGTGATTAGAATTCCCTTTGTTGTGCTGAAAGAACTGGTACCTATGGTTTGGCTTGGGGTGTGGGGAGTTGAGTCTACATTCTTATTTTATTGTATATAATGTTAATGTTTACAGGCATTAGTAAAGATGAAAAAAAAAAAAGAAAGAAAAAGACATCGATTCTATATGTAAGGATTATACCCTTTAATAGTGGTACCACTTGGATATGGATGAAAAGTTTGTTACGAGGTCAGATGTAAAAACATATAAAAGTTACACGGAATGCTAGAATTTGAAATCACAACTTGAAATAGGCCCTATAAAGCAGTCTCGAGATGGAAAGGTATCCTAGAGATGATGCAGTGAACGGAATTGATTCTCAGCTCCCTCGTACATCCAATCACGTAGGAACATTTTCAAAGGGCAGATACAGAAATTCTCAATTAATTTGTCTGGAGTAGGGTCTAGAAATTATTTTTAAAAATGTATCGACAGTATTTTACAGATGCCTCCCCCTCTCCCTCCTCCCTTTACACTCTTCTACCAGGCTCTTGCCCCACCCTGGGCCTTCCCCACGCTGTTGTCTGTGTCCATGGGCCATGCATATCTCTCTATATAAAAGCCTAAGTGACCTAACGACTGGATGACTGGCCGGTAGCTATGATGTGCACTGTCCACCAGGGGACAGACGTTCAATGCAGGAGTTGCCCTCCTGGTGATCAGGGTGCTCCCACGGTGAGAGCACTGCTCAGCTGATCAATGAGTGCTAGGCTCAGGGCTGGCAAATGCATCCGTGGCGGCCTGAGCCCCTCCCACCTCTATGGCAGCGCTACTGAGCAGAGGCAGAGGTAAGTGCTATAGGACTGGGATGAGTGGGAGTGGCACAGTGCCCGGCCTGGGCTCAGGCTCCTCCCCATCCGCTTGCTGCTTCATGCACTACTATATTCCTTGGGGCGATGTCAGACTGCCGATCCCCCAAAGGGTCCCGGATTGTGAGAGGTCACAGGCCAGGTGAGGGACCCCACCTGTGCATGGATTCGTGCACCAGGCCTCTAGTAAGCATATAAATTCTTTAGTTAATCTCTTCCGCCCCTTCTACCTTCTCCCCTCTCCCCTCTGAGATCTGTCAGCCTGTTCCATGTTTCCATGTCTCTGGATCTGTTTAGCTTGTCAATTTATTTTGTTTATTAGGTTCTACTTATGCGTGAGACCCTTTGATACTTGTCTTTCTTTGACTGGCTTATTTTACCTTGCATATGTTCCTCAGCTCTCTTCATGCTGTCTCAAACAGTTAAGAGAGAATTCTTTTTTACAGCTGCATAGAATTCCATGCTGTAAATGCAGCAGAACATTTTTACCCACTCATCTACTTGATGGGCACTTGGGCTGTTTCCAAATCTTAGCTATTGTAAATGAAGCTTCTGTGTACATAGGGGTGCGCATATCCTTTCTGGTCAGTGTTTCAGGATTCTTAGAAGTGGGATTGCTGGATCAAACAGCAGTTCCATTTTTTATGTTTTTGAGGAAACTCCATACTGTGTTTGACAGTGGCTGTACCAGTCTGCATTCCCACCAGCAGTGCACGGGGATTCTGGAATTCTAAAACTCTGAAAGCGATTGTAATATGCAGCCAGGAAGGAGAACCATTAACTTAGGAGCTGGAGGAAACAACTAATGTGTTCCAGTCACTGCTGTGTCTTGAGCACTGTGGTGGCTGCAACACAAATGCCCTCTCTTTGATCCTTATAAGAAGTGAGATAGTTTGACAAAAAGGGGCAGAGGCTCGGTCCTCACCTGGGGCACTCAGCTGCCTCCTTCCCTGTTGTTGGCAATGCTTGTTAAGTGTGCACCGAGTTCCTGCCTTGTTCTTCAAGATCAACATGCACCGCCCACTTTCCATCCTACCCTTGGTAGGCATGGTCTTACCCACTTTTGAGCTTTCAGAAATCAGCCTCTGGCTAATTCTAGCTCAGCAAATCTTTCTGAGCAATCTTGCCCCCAGAAAATTATTAAAAAATTTTTTTTTACTTATTTTCACAACTTGAGAGCCCAGGTCAGAAGCACAAACATAATCTTTACTGTGTGCTTAGCACGGATCCTAGGTCAGGCCATTTCATCTCTTCATCCTGCCACACTGGATTCCCTTCCTGTCATGTGGAGAGGGGCAGCAGCAAACCCACAAAATACTCAAGGGCTGTAGCCGGCAAGGCTTGGTCTCCTGCCTGCCTGCAGGCTGCAGCTGCTTGAAGCACAACCTGGCTGCTCTGGGGTCTGGGGGAGTGGGAGCAGAACGCCCTTGTGAGGACCGGAGTACCAGCTCCTGGATGTGCTCACCTCCTTTCCACGTCATAAGGGCCTTTCTCGGGCCTGAATCTTGGAGAATCCAACCCAGGTTTCTCCTACTAAGATTACTTGCTCCGAAGAGTCACCTAGGAGAGATGGAGGTGATGGGCGAAACACAGCAGAAGCGCGTGCGGCAGTGTGGAAGTCTAGGCTCAGGAGCCCTCCGCTGCCTTCTGTCTGAACCAGTGGTTCTAAGCCTTTTAATGCCGCAACCCTTTAATAACTGTTATTAAATACCTGTGTTTTCTAGTGGTGTTAGGTCTATACTATTGATACCCACAGGTTGAGAACCGCTAGCAGGGTCGCCTAAGACCATCGGAAAACACAGATATTTACATAACAATTCATAACAGTAGCAAAATTACAAAATTATGAAGTAGCAATGGAAATAATTTTATGGTTGGGGGTCAACACAACATGAGGAACTGTGTTAAAGGGTCGCAGCATTAGGAAGGTTGAGAACCACTGGTCTAAACCGTTGTAGCGTTTAATGGAGAAAAGGAAACTCTCAGGTCTGTTTTCAAGAACACGTGTGTCTTGATTAAGGTATGAAGTTGGTAAAAATGGAAAAACAATTTGATTTGAAGAGTTAATAAATGCAAATTTTGGATTAGGAGGAGATTGCCATGTGTATTAAGTTAGGCAGAAGTATGTAGGTTTCCTTATAGAATAACCACATGGTCTGTGTAGAAGAAATAAAACAAATACAGCAGAAAATAAAATAAACGGTTTGTAATCTGCCACCTCAGAAGCACGGGTGTGGTGTGTCTCTCCCATGTGATGTGTGGGCAGAGCTGGGGCAGGTATCCACGCATTGACACAGGAGAGTTTTCACTTCACATAACGTAGTGAGCAGTCGCCATCATTTTTCATTGGCAGGATATACGAATTCACTTAATCCTCACCTTACCGCTGGATGTTTATATTGTCCCTCATTTTTATTCCTCGGTGTTCTTCAGAGACCATTGCGGTAGCTGGTTTTGATTAGTGCAGGCCATTTTGTCCGCGTGTGTGCATTGGTGAATAGGATCAAAGGCTCTAGTGAGAAGTAGCTGGAGATGATATTGACCCAAATTGTGCCCGTTGCCATGGCGGCATCTCCTAAGCTGCATGTGCCGTTGTCTGTGGTCTAGTTCGGTGCATTCGCTACATAATAAAGACTCTGAACCAGAACTGTGTGTCGACCTCAGTTCGAATGGTATGAAAATGTAATATATTTGTGACAAGGAATAACAAGTTGAAGTACAGTAAGTAGGAATGTAATTGCTTATGATAAATATAGGCTTAGCTTCAAAATAGCTAGCTTAAAATTTCCCTCAGAGTGCACTTTAAAGATTTCCACTGATGATCTCGGAGGAGTGGCACCCAGCCATTGCTGGAATGAAATAGCACACGTTGTTCAAAGTTGGGGCCGTAATTGATTTAATGCATATTTTTGCTACTTTGACATTTATCTTATATGAAAAGAATAATTCTATACACAGGTAATACATAAATAAAATCATAATACTGTGTAACTCCAGAAAATAGTGTTTGATGATTGCCCTGATTTTTTTTTTTTTTTTTTTAAGAGAAGAAAGAAATAGCTTTCATCTAAGTGTTCATGTTTACTGGCTATGTGTGGGTCATTGAGGAAATCAGGAAGGCCCTCCTGTTCTGACGGACACTGTTGGATTTCCATTTTATCGCTGCCTTTGTGACCTTGGCTTTGAGCCCTGTGATGGCAGTTGATTGCCCTTCAAGGACTCTGCTACTTGAGGGTGAGGTCTCTGGTGAGGCCAAAAGAAGTCTCTGTTTTCAGCTAAGTCTCTGGTCTTTGCTTTCCTTCGACCTTCACACGAAGGAGATAGGGCTTACAATGACCAGAGCTCACACCCTAAAGTGACAAAGAGTCCTGAAGGGCAATCAACCGCCATCACACGGCTCAAAGCCAAGGCCCCCTCGGCAGTAACTGTATTTTGATTTGAACTCCTCATCACTGACTGTTTTCGTTGATGGGACAAGGATAGAAAGTGCGGCCTCTTGAGGCTAGAATATTCAGAGCTCCACTGAGGATGATCACTCACCTCTTCCTGAACCGTTTGCCATGACCCTGCTTTGATCATACTTTTCTTTTTTCCTTTTTAGGCAGGCGGTTCCCAGGTGATCTTCACAAATCCTTTGGAAATCGTCAAGATCCGCTTGCAAGTGGCTGGGGAAATCACCACCGGCCCCCGAGTCAGTGCTCTGTCTGTCGTGAGGGACCTGGGGTTCTTTGGGATTTACAAGGTAACTTTCCTTCCAGTCATTTGTCTGACTGCGTGCCCGTCTCCTAAACCAGTCCCTGCTCAGGGGCATGACATCGATCTCTCGCGCTTCCACGCCTGGAAAGGGTCATTGCCATGTCTGTGGCCTGGTGTGGTGCATTCGCTATGTAATAAAGATTCTGAACTGTAGCTGCTGCCATCCACAGGGCACCTTCAGGCCAGTGAGAAGGAGGTGCCCTTCCTGCCCACCCCCAAAAAGCTGTCCTTAGAAATACGCAAGTCGAGGCTGGCTGGAGTGAATGGCGCCCGCTGGTGCTGTTCAGCGCGCAGGTCTGTGCAGCCACACTGGCTGGAGCCTTCTTTGGGTTTGTTATTGATGCAATGATTCCCGATTCTCGGTGTTGTCCGCCACGCAGGAGAGATGCCCCGATCCCAGGGGACCATCTCTCGGGAGGTATGCCGAGCCCAGGGGAAGAAGTCCACCCCAGATCAAGAATGTATTTTTTGATTCTATACATCCCAGCCCTGTCCATATATGGATGGCTTGTCATAATTGTGTTGAATCTTAACCGTTTTTTCCCGTAGAAAATAGTTTTTTTTTTTCAGAATGATTGGGAAACCAAATTTTTAGAAGTGTCTTAAAATTTGTGATTCACACTCCTCTCCCAAAGAAGGTATAATGGAACATACTAGAACTTGTTTCATATACACCCAAGCAAACATGAGGTGTCATCAGTTTTCAATGAGAAAAATTAAAAAAAAATAATAACGTTCCACAGCCAACTTGAATAAGTAAACCTTTCGGGATATATATAAGAAGAGAAGGCCAGTGTCTACTTAGCATAGTTTTCGTTTATTTACATAGAATGTATGTGCCCTTGACTGGGAATTGAACCCGAGATCCCTCTGTTCTCTGGCTGGCGCTAACCACTGAACAGCACTGGCCAGGGCCACTGGATCCACTTTCTGACTTGGACACCCACGTGGTTTTGCAGTGTTTCATCTTTATGCCAGGCGGCCACTTCTGCGCTCTGTGCACCCAACGTCAGGGCGGTTGTTTTCTTTTTGCCCTGTCCTCCGCTCATCCTGTAGAAAGGTACACTGCTTTGTGCCATGAACTTTAAATGCCGTGTGTTGACATTCAGCACGGCATGTTGGGAGCTCCTACCCCCACGTGCACTTTTTTGCCCTTTTCCTTTTTACTCATGTTTGCAGCTCACCTTGCTACACATCAGTGTTCGTCATAGTTGGGGTTGCTTTCAAGTACATTCATTTGCCTTCCCGTACTTGAAGTCAAGTGAGGGAAGAGTACCCCATCATCTGAGACTCTGTAAGGATCAAACATAATGGGATGCCCTCTTTTCCCGTGGCTGGTTTTAAGGGCGGGTAGGGAACTTGCCTTATAGTTTGGAGTCTGTGGAGCTCTGGGATAGATAACGCCGATTTTTCAATGTAGCCCTTAAAATACTCAATCTGTGAGTGTTTGCGGTGGAACACAAAATATTCTAGATATTTCACTTACCACATTATTGCCCAGCTGTAAGGAATAAACAGAATTGTCATGAGGCACAGCATGGATCATTTTGAGGGGGTGGGGAAATCAACTTCTTTTCTAAATTTCTGGGTTCTGGCGGACTAGAACACAATGCAGCAGAATGTAATTTTGACAAGATGCCAAGCAGTCTTTCAACAGGTTGTCTCGTGGAAAACACTTAGGTACTAACGGTAGTGACTGCTATGGAAATGTCTAGATGGATAAAATGGTAGAAACTTGTTTGCTGACACAGAAACAGAGACTGTTCGACTACCTGCGCATGATACGAGACTGAGTCGTAGTCCTTTTCATCTTCACGGCATTTCATAATCTTAATCCCCTTTAACACCCCCTGGAAGTCCCGGGCCTCCTGATTTTGTAGTTAGGGGAGCAGAGGCTGCCAACGAGGGTATCTGAGCTGAAATCGAGGATCAGAAGTTTCTTGTTTCCACTTTTGTGCTAAAATTGCTTTCCTGAAATGAGCAGGATTGCTCAAGTTTGAGCAGGAGACCTCTCCCATATAAAGTTAGTTTAATTACTAGTCTGGCGGTTTAATCCAGTTCAGAGGCATTCCTCCGGGCTGGGTGCTGCTTTGGTGCCTGGGTAATTACCAGGGGAAGTCGCTGGCACTCTGGAGCTTCCGGAAACTTGATTTCATGGCACGGGAGTGATCTTGCAGTCCTGTCCTTTCTGCTGGCCAGCAGTGTCCTCAGTTGAATTCCAGAATATCTGTAAGCCCTGCTTCACTTATCGGAGGTCACAGCTCCGTTCAGGCTGATCATCTTTATTGCCTGCCCAGGTGGTCCTCATTTATATCATCTCAGATGCCAGCCTTAGGTTCTGCTTCCTGTGACTCTCTGGGCACCCCCACCTTACCCCACCGTCCTTGGTCAGAAATCACATCAGCAACTCAACGTCTGTTGTTTCATGGTTGTCAGAGCTTTGCTTTGCTGTGTTGTTTTTGTTGAGGATAGTACTTCTTAGTAATAAAGCTCTTCACTGACTCTTGTCTTGGTTGGATAGAAAGATGCACAGGACTTCAAGTGACCTAAGACCTTTCCACCTGGTATGCATCCCTCCATCTTTAGCTGGGACAGGTAATCTGCCTTCCTTCCCGGGTCCTTTTGTTGGCCCTTGTTAACATGACAATGCGGGACCCAGGAGGGGGGAGTGGTGGTTCTGTCCTGTGTGTTTAGGCCTGCGGTGCTTAACCTCCCTAAATTAGACTTAACCTGGCTTTCTATTTTCCTCCTGAATTGACTTGCAAAATAGCCCACTATTCTGTGACTTCCCTGTGAATGGTAATTAGAATACTTGCTTTAGAAATACATTTACAACTGAAAAAAACAACAACAGGGGGATGTGGTAAACATTTTACATTCCTGAGGTTAGAAATAGTTCTAGTGGACCCTGTAAACAAAGACTCCTCTTTGGGTACCATTTAGAGAGGTTTAGTTACAGCATTGAGTAGGTAGGTGATTGAAGTAAAGGCAGGATAATAAACTGCCTTTGAAAGAGCTTTTTGAATGTAATGTAGTTTTCAAAAAATCTGCAACTATAATGCTTTTCTTAAGAATGCATGAGGATGTGTTTCCCTTTATCTAGGTAACTTTTGTTTTGTTACATAAGCCCCTAGCACATGAAATAAGTAAAATAAATCATCAGAGAAAAGAAAGTGGCACATGTGGACTTGTGAATATTACCTTTCCTGTAGGAGCCAACAAAGGTTTGCTGAGGAGAGGGATTGCACCCAAGGAATGGAATGGAACTTACTATTTAACCTTGAGTGTCAGCACAGCTCATGTAGGCTGAGAGATGCTTCTGTAAGAAGCAAAGGAACAGTTTCTATCTCTGAGTTCAGGAAGCGGGCAGGGAAGCAGTGACAGGCAGGATCCATCATGCAGTTGAAAATCATTTTTGGATTGTACTCCTGTGCAGTGCATTGGCTGCTGCCTGACAAGTCACTGGCAAACATGGGCTGTATCTATTGTGTTCTAATCAGAGGTCTTTGTCCACCATTCTAGAGTATTCAGATATATAGTCATCCATGTACATACTTGTGCATGTGTGTTCATTCATTGTGTATGTGTCGATGAATCATTGGACTACTGTCCATAAAACCAGAAAGCAAGTAATGATACACGTTCTTGATTATTCTGCTAGTTATCCCAAAGGGATGTCATTTGTTTTTAATGTATTTTTATTGATTTTCTAGTGGAAGAGAGAGAGAAACTTCAATGATGAAAGAGAATCATTGGTCAGCTGCCTACTGCATGCCCCCTACTGGGGATTGGCCTGAAACTGGGACCTGTGCCCTGATCATGTGCCACATACACCCCCCGAGTCACAATGGCCAGGCCTATTTGTTTGTGTTAAAGGGAATACAATTTTATGTTTCAAAGAAAAATCAGAAATGTCTGAAAGTAAAATTCTCTCTACCCCTTTTATTTTATTTTAATATATATATTATTGATTTTTTACAGAGAGGAAGGGGGAGGGATAGAGAGCTAGAAACATTAATGAGAGAGAAACATCAATCAGCTGCCTCCTGCACTCCCCCACTGGGGATGTTTCCAAAAGCAAGGTGTATGCCTTTGACTAGAATTGAATCTGGGACTCTTCAGTCTGCGACTGATGCTCTATCCACTGAGCCAAACTGGTTAGGGCCTCTCTACCCCTTTTAGTCCCATTCTTTCTTCAAAGGATAACCATTGCTTGTGTTTTTCATATTATCTCTAAGAAAATAAAACCTACTTAGATCAATATTTACCTCTCTCCTCCTTCCTGCTTTCTCTTTCTCTCTATCCCTAATTGTATCCCTATCAGAATCGTGTGTGTCTGTGTGTGTGTGTGTGTGTGTGTGTGTGTGTGTGTGTGTGTGTTTTAGCAAAAATGGAATCTTTCTAAGTATACTGTATATCTCAAAGCTCTTTCTCATTTTATTTAATAGCCGTAGAAACATTTTAAAAATGTTGGGTATTTATACTGATGGGTATTTATATTGTTTCTAGTTTGGGGGTATTATAAGCCATAGAAGGGGGACTATCCCTGCATATATTTGGATATACTTTTGTGAGTTTATCTCAGTGATAAATTCTAGTAATGAAGCTGTTAGGTCATAGGACAGGTACATTTTTATTGTTCATAGATTTTGTCAAACTGTATCAGTTTATTAATTTTATGTTGGTAACATGTAAGTACACAAGAAAATTTCTCTATTGCAGCTTTTAAGAAATACTCTTTTTATGAGCTCATGGCTCCACATGAAGAAAACACCTGTTGAGTCATTAGTGCCAGGAGCTGGTGCCATGCTAATTCTCTAACTCCCAGGAGATGCTATGGCTTTACCACCTCCGCAGTGACAGTTCCACCCCTCTTCTCCCACAGGCGGCTTTTCCCTGGACCTCTGGGAAAGCCTTCTCACGGGTTTGACTCCTGACTCTTCCGAATCCATCGTCCACACAGCAGCCAAGTTGATCTGTTTAAAC